ATGAGTCCAAAGCAGCAGATACTTTACTTATGGAAATCATGCACCTTTCATTCAAGAGGCATGCAACACTTTTAATTTTCAGAAGACTTAATACAGTATTTTACAGACAATACTGAGATACATGTCTTTTCTCATAGTTTTTCCTGGCTTTCGTGAGACAATTCAGGCTGCAGTTTCAGGGCTTTTTACAGCTCAGTGAATATTCTTTGCTTTTGTATAACTTCATCTATTCTATTATTTTCCTTCATATTTACTATTATATATGTGCTAAGTCGCCTGGATGTTACTTTCAATCTCTGATCTTTTCTCACACTTCAATATTTTTTGTTCTGTACTTTTAGCTATTTTTTGCATTTAAGCTTTTAAGCAACTAAATCTAGTCTCACTTGTGATTTGTACTTGAATAGTTTGTAGACTCCATTTGTTAAGTCCCATAAAACACTGATTTTGTTATTGGGAATGTCCTTCCATACTGCAACTTTTAAAAACTCAAGTTGCTTTTTATCTTGTCGTTGGTGTATATGCCTTGCTTATTCTGTGTGACATCTCTCTTTCCAGATGCAGGCTTAGTTTTTTCAGAGAAGTTTGGAAATATATGAAAAGAAAGAAATTCATTGCTTACTAGGAGTTTAAGAAGGAGGAAAAAATAAAGTGGCAAAAGGCAATATTCAACATAACAATGCTTTTAAAGTCTCAGTGATAATCAAAAGAAGGTTTCTTAGTGGTGGTATGAGTATCTGTAATGCAATACAGAACACATACACATACATATGCATACATACACATATGGCTAAAAATTATTGAAAGAAATGTACACACAAATTCCACAAGATAAAGAAAACAATTAGCTTGAAGGGTAATTTCTCAATAGACACAAGAGAAACCCAAAAGGTAGACCACATTAAAATTGAGGAAAATACATGATATTCAATCTCAAAATCTATTTCCTGAATTAATAAAAGAATCATTTGAATAAAGACAGTTTTAGATAAATTAAAAACAGAATTTCCCATCAATGAATCTCCCTTAAAATAATTTTAAAAGAACCAACTCTGGGAAGAATAAAATTATGTATATGCTCTATCTCTGTGTATTTTATGTGGTGCACATGACATCACTGTTTGCCGAAAAGACATATCTGTTGGAGAGGAAGAACCAAACCAAAGCAAACTAAACTAAGCAATGCTAGAGAATTACTTAACAAACACATATATTTTAGTAATAATATGGCACATGACCTCAAAATTATGCTATTTAAATATATCTAAATGATTTTGGACAGTCAAATAGGTGGTTTTTCACATGTTCTCACGTGTAAGTAGGAGCTAAATGATGAGAACACATGGACACATAAAGAGGAACAACACACACTGCAGGGTATCAGCCTTCCTAAAAAATACCAAAAAGCAAACAGCATCAACATAATCAAGAATTTACATCAACTAATAGGCAAAACAGCCAGCTAACATTAAACGGCAGTATTAAACTCACATATATTATTATTAATTCTAAATTTAAATCGACTAAATCCCACAATCCAAAGACATAGATAGGCAAAAAAAGCCAAAACCCATCGGTATGCTGCATCTAGACCCATCTCACATGCAAGGATACACAAAGACTCAAAACAAAGGGATGGAGAAAGATTTACCAACCAAATGGAGAGCAAAAATAAATAAATAAATAAAAAGCAGGAGTTGCCTTAAAGCAACAAAGATCAAAAGAAGCAAAGAAGGATATTAAATAATGATAAAAGGATCAATGCAACAAGAAGAGCTAAAGATCCTAAATATATACACTCCCAATACAGGAATACCCAGATATATAAGACTTATAAAGAGACTTAGACTCCCACACAATAATAGTGGGAGACTTCAACATCAATATTAGACAGATCAATGAGACAGAAAATTAACGATATTCAGGGTCTGAACTCAGATCCGGAACAAGTAAACTTAATTAAAATTTATAGAACTCTCCACTTTAAATACACAAAATATACACTCTTATCACTACCACATCACATCTATTTACAGGTTTCAATGAAATATTGGTTGGCTGCTTGTTTGTTATTTTCTTCCCTCATTTTTTTTTCATGTCTCTATTATTAAGCACAATTATAGGCATACCCATTTTTAGACTGCTTTCTAGCCGGGGCAATAAAGCAACACCCCTATTCTCTCTCCCTCTTCCTCTTTCTCTTTCTTCCTCTCCTTCATTCTTTTCTTTTTTATTATTCTTTTCTTTCTTTTTTTTTTCAAGAAAAAAAAAGAAAAAAAATTCTTCCAACTTTTAACATCAAACAGAAAAGTTGAAAAAGAAGTACCGTAAAGACACATGTGCCCTTTATTTAGATTCACAAATTAACATTTTCTGAGATTGGCTTTGTGTGTCTCTAGGTCTCTTTTCCCCTTCACAGACACACTCATTTTCTCTCTCTTACACACACGTTAAAAAAAAAATAGAGGTAACAAACTTTATGAAAAAAATCAGGCAGGGCGCTTTGGCTCACGCCTGTAATCCCAGCACTTTGGAAAGCCTAGGAGGTCAGATCACCTGAGGTCAGGAGTTTGAGACTAGGCTGGCCAACATGGTGAAACCCCAAGTCTACTAAAAATATAAGAATTAGCTGGGCATGGTGGCAGGTGCTTGTAATCCCACATACTTGGGAGGCTGATGCAGGAGAATTGCTTGAACCCATGAGATGGAGGTTTCAGTGAGCCAAAATCACCCTATTGCATTCCGTCCTGGGCAATAAGAGTGAAACTCCATCTCAAAAATAAAAAATTATGGAAAAAAATCAGTCGAAAGCATTTTGATAGATCTTAGGAAAAAGATTAATCAGAAAACAGATGTGGAATCATATGGGGGTTCTGAAGGCACAGGCTGTCTGGAGTGGTCACTACCGCGGTGCTGGATACAGTGAAGAGCTGCAAGTGGTAGTGGCAGGAACAGCCCTGGTGGTGGCGGATCCCCTGTGCCCTGCATCCCCTAGGCAGCCAACTGCCTCACTTCCACACTCACATGGACAGGCAGAAACTGCCTCTAGGCCCAGAGCCTCTCCTGCTCTGGACCTTGGCCCCACACTGAGGCTCTTGCCTGCTGTCATGCTAGGAGGGTGCGGGAAGGAGGTGGAGCTGGACCTCTTGTGGTGCCATATTCCGTGAAGCCAGTGAGAGCCAGGTACAACAGGAGTCATCTCAGAGTCATCAACCCTGTGAGCTGCCAAAATGGGGGCAAGGCCAAGTCACCAACTGGCTGGGGAACAGTATAGTCAGTCACAGAGAAGTGAGCAGAGAGAGGCCCAGTGAGCACATGGAGCCCCCACCCCAGGCTGTGAGGAGGCACCTCCCAGGTACTGAATCCATGTCTCTCTGCAGTGTGCTCCCTTGGGAGCCTGGGAAGCTCCCCATCCTATCACACAGTCTTGGGGGTTTCTCCTCCTGCTACCTGGCCTCTCCCTACTCCTGGCACCCACTTTAATCTTGGAGCAGGGTTAGTTGGGGACAAGCCCAGGCACTGTCACAGCCCAGCTGGATGTGCACACACTCAGGGCAGTGCTGATACATTGTCTCCCTGCCATCTTGGTCCACTCTAGATTTTGGGTGCCAACAAGTGCAGGGGTTTGAGGAGCAGAGGGGGTTCTGAGGGCAGCTTGCTGCTGGCCTGCAGCTGTCCCTTGGCACAACCAGCCTGGGTGTCATAGATGGTGGCAGGAGGCAGACAGGCTCCTGGGCAAAAAAGGGTGGGTCCCCAGTGAGTCCCCACCCTCAGACCAGGGAGGGCCTGAAGGCCAGGAACTGAGTTACCAGTCCCGAAGACTGGAGTGGGAACTTGTGGTGCCTTTTCCCCACCCACCCGTGGCTGCCCATGAACCAATCAGCATGCTTTTTCTCCTCTCTGAAGCCCATAAAAACCCTAGGCTCAGCTGCAGAGAGGAACTACCCTCTCCACTGAGAGCTGAACACTCACTGGGACAGCCAGCTGCAGAGACAAGCTGCTCCCTCTGCCAGGAGCTGAACACTTGACAGTACGCCCCAGCAGTGGAAAGGAGCTCCCTGCTGTGGGTCTCCTCTAAGCTTTTCTATTGCTTAACAAAGTTCCTCTTTGTCTTGCTCAACCTTCTTTGTCTGTGTACCTCATTCTTCCTTATCACAGGACAAGAACTTGGGACCCACCAAATGGTGAGGCTTAAAGAGTTGTAACACAAACAGGCCTGAAACATGCGTCTTGCTCACCACATGGAGACAAAAAGAAAAAGAGAAGAGCTGTAGCCCTTTGGAGATCCCAGACCTGGAAGCTCCCTGATAAAGGGCTGTGAATTCATCTTTGGGTCCCTGTGGTTCCTGGTATCTCCAAACTTCTGGGTGCCACTGTGTTTCACAGTGCTGGGTCCAATCATAGCCTTGCCAAGAGCTGGTGCCCATGCTGGTACCTGGAGCTGCCTGCCCTGCTGTAGCAGATGGCATGCCTGATTGTATGCAGTGACTGAACCCTGTGCTTGCTCACACATCCCTTGCCATTCCACATGTGACTCTCCCTTGTCAGACATGGGACCCAGACTGGTAGCATAAGCTGAGCACAGCCTGCCAGGCTGAGTACGTGAAATGAATCCAGTGGGCCTGAGCAAAACTCAGGCAAAGGTGCCACTGGCCACAGAGGTTTTGGCCAGAAAAGCAACACCCCAAGGATCCTATAACAGTTCCACATGCTGTATGTATTGTGAGGCATTTATAGACACAAATGAATGCAGGCTTGAAAGAGGACACATAAAAATAAAAGCATCAGGAAGCAAAGTTAGAGAAGTTAAAAAAAAAAAAAAAGAGGGAGCTGGAGGCCATGGCAGTTAGTGCCCATCTCTAAAGAGCAACAATGAGGAGCTTAAAAAAAAATGCACACAGTCAGATTTGCTTTTTCTATGCTGCTTGAGTATGATGCTGTGAATGAATGCAGATTACTGCTAAATTAAGAAGAAATAGAGAAGACTGGGTTGTGTTAAGTGTCAGTCATAGCTTCAGTTACTGACATTTTCAATATGAAGTACCTTTAAGATATTCAAAAAAGACAGGTAGGCAGTTACACATATAATAGCAATGCATGAATTAAAATTATAATATTGGACACATCATCTTATAAATGCTGAGTTAATTGGATGAGATTCTCAAGAAAAAATGGACACTATAAGAAATAATAGTGTCCAGGGCTGGGTTATAATGACCTCCAATATTTAATGATAAATGAAAGACGAAGACTGACAACTGAACCTGAGAAGAAAGCAATAAACTTTTAAAATCAGAAGAACAAACCCATATGGTGCTAAAGAAATAATAGTTTATCAAAAAGAAGGCAACAGTGGACTTGCCTTATTAAAGATGGAATGCCTTATCAAATATGACAAGTATTAAAATATGTTTAGATTTCAATGATGGCCAAATATGTAGTTAAGACACTGGAATTTATTCATCAAATTCCTGATAATATTAAATGTTACATGTTCAATTGGATGATAAAGCACAACTTTTCCAACTTCATTTCTCGTATATAAGTGTTGCCACATGCAACAGCCCAGGAGGTAGTGTCATTCACAGACTCTAAATTTTTGCTGTGCACAGATTTCACTACCTTTCAAAGGCTCAGCCCTGTTCCTGGGTCACCAAAGCAGTAAGTGCCACACTCCAAGGTGAATAGAGGAGTCATAATGTAAAATTTATAAAGAATGTAATTGAGCTAGTTGCAAAGCTCTTAAATTTTTACTGCTGAAAGACTACAGTGAATTGGAAGTTGTTGGTAAGTAAACAGAATATTTTAATATTGTTAAAGATGTTTCCTCCTTACCCCAATTGCAAAAATTGATGCTGTAATGAGACCTCCTCCAACTTGGAGAACTTTTAAATTATCTCTTCAGATTAGATTGAATAAGAGGCTATGGGTTTGACATTGTCTAGAGTCTAAAAGGTAAGAGTTAGTCAGCCTGACTTAACTATGAAGCCACAGAAAGGTGGGTGTGTGGGAACTGGTCTGATCTCCAAAAGAATCTCAGAAAAAAAAGTGAGTTTTTTCCACAGAACAGATATGGGCCACATTGGTCAGGTTCAGGGTATAGTTATCACCTGGAATGGAGGATAAACCTCACCAGAATGAAAGTCAACCTCTTATGCAAAGAGGCTTAAAAAACAGAGGTAATCAACAGCTGTGGACACAGTATTCTCTTCTACATTTCACAGGAACTTCATATTTGAGATCTCCAGCTAATAGGTTAGATTTCTATTTCTTTCCTACAGAAAAAATAAATAGTATTAAGTACCTCTCATACACAAATAATTTAATGATACCTCATGAAATATTAGTCAAGTAAGAACTTTCCTGCCCACTTTCTCACCTTGCTCTCTGTTTAGCATAGATGGATGGCATAGAAATCATAATGAGTCAACTGGGTGGGAGATAGTTATATTCTTTTGTCCTACAGAAGACCAACCTCCTTCCAGTCCAATCTAAGCAAGGATAGCAGCTACAACTTTAAGTAAAGTCTAAAGGCCTTATAATTTATTGGATTTGACATATTATTAATTAATTGAGATTTTGATTTTACCTGATGGTGACCCAAATATCATGGAGCTTTCCCTAATTTTCATTAACCAGTAGCAAATAATCACACACACACACACACACACACACACACACACACACAAGTAAAAGGATAGTGATAGTACAACATAAAGCCATTTATTATTACAGCCTGTATTCATCCATTTTCATGCTGCTAATAAAGACATACCCAAGACTGAGCAATATACAAAAGAAAGAGGTTTAATGGACATACAGTTGTACATTGCTAGGGAGGCCCAACAATCATGGCAGAAGGTAAAAGGCGTGTCTCACATGGTGACAGACAAGAGAAGAGAGCTTGTGCACAAGTACATTAGTCTTGTGTTAGTAAACTAGTCTCATGAGATCTGATGGTTTTAAAAATGAGTTTTTAAAACTCATGATTCGATTACTGCCCACCGGCTTCCTCCCATGACATGTGGGAATTGTGGGAGATACAAGTCAGGATGATATTTGCGTGAAGACACAGCCAAACCATATTATTCTGCCCCTGGCCCCTCTCAAATCTCATGGACTCACATTTCAAAACTTTCCCACATTTTTCTGTCTTTTTCTGAGCCCTCCAAACTGTTACAACCTCTGCCTATTATCCAGTACCAAAGTTACTTTCACATTTCCTGATATCTTTTCAGCAGCACCTCACTCCTGGTACCAGTTTACTGCATTAGTCTGTTTTCATGCTGCTGATTAAGACATACCTGAGACTGGGCAATTACAAAAGAAAGAGGTTCAATGGACTTACAGTTCTACATGGCTGGGAAAAACCTGCTTCCATGATTCAACTGCCTTCCACTGGGTTTCTCCCACAACATGTGGGAATTGTGAGAGTTACAATTCAAAATGAGATTTGGGCAGGGACACAGCCAAACCACATCACAGCCCTTAAGTACTGTTTCATTGACGTAACTGTGACATTTATACCTATTATAAAATTAATTCACTTCATTATGTGTTATAAATTGTATCAGTATTTTAATAATTTACATTTTTAACAAATTAATATTTATATAAGTTAAAAGCCTCCTATAATTTGTTTCTTCTCTTCCATTGCTTCATCTAAAGCAGAAGTTTGTAAACTATAGCTTATATGTAAAATCTACCTCTCCACCTGTTTTTCTAAATTAAACTCTATTGGAACATAGTTATATTCATTTATGTATTGTCTAAAGCAACTTTTTTGTTACAACAGAAAAGTTAACTAGCTGCAACACAGCCTATATGGCCACTATAATCTAAACTATTTACTATACAGAAAAAGTGTGCCAACCTCTGATTTAGAGCAATGTTCCATGTAACTTCCAGAATTTGATGCAAGAGGAGCTTCATCATATTAAAGATTTGTCACTAAACAGCTGACTTTCAAACTGATAGTAACAGACTGATTTTAAATGGAAACTAAACTTGCTAATGTGTCTATGTGTATAGCACGTTTTGACAAAACGCTGAAAACTGTGAAAGTTGTGCATCTTACGAGTTCTAATGATAATTTCTCTCATTTATTTATGGCAGGTATGTCAGTATAGTTCCACTGTGCAATTATACTCATATTTAAAATAAAAGAGGTGATGTTTAAGACTTACTCTATTAGTAAACTGCAATTCATGAAATCTACACATAATTGAAAGAGAATGGAAAATTTTTTTTACTATTTTTAATATTCCTTCTGTAATATAAATTGAATCAAAGTGGAGTAAAGAAGAAAATGAAAATATAAAAATTCAAATATTATCTATAAAAGACAAATAATAGGACCAAGACAGATCTATTAACTGATACTGATAGCTGATATCATGATAAATACATGCTATATAAACTAAAGTACCAGCACCATCAACCTTGCAACTATGATATATTTACAAATACCTCAAAAAGCATGAAGTTCAATTTGAAATATGAGAGCAAAATCAAGTCTGGAAGTATATTCTGTTTGGTTCTGAAATGTGCTCACATATTTTTATCATTAGTATAAAAATATCACTAGTAGTATAAGTGTCGTAACTATGTTTTTAAAAAGTTCTAAAATAAAAAGATGTAATGAAAGAAAAGATGGGAGAATAAAACAGGAGAAAATAATTCCCTATATATTCTCCAACATGAATATATCTCATTACATATGGTATGAGTCAAATTACGGACTGGCCAGCTGGGCAGTTGCCCATGACACTTAAATATAAAATATAGAATTTTCAAAGTGAAACAGTTTGGAAACATATAAATTAGCCCTGCTTTTACTTAGAGAGTGATATCTTTTTATTTTTCATTTTTCCAGTTCTATCAAGGCACAACTAACAAATAAAAATGGCATATATTTAAGGCACACAATGTGATGTTTTCACATATGTATACATTGTGAAATTGTAGCCACAATCAAGCTAATTAACATATCCATCACCTCATGTAGTTACCATTTTGGAGGATGGGGAAACATTTAAAATTAACTCTCAGCAAAGTACACAATACAGTATGATTAAATAATATTTTTTAAAACAAAAATTATTTGATATACATATCCATTGTAAAATGGTTACTAGCATCAAGCAAATAAGAATATTTATCAGCTCACATAGTAAATGCATTTTATTTTTGTGGCAAAAGCATCTAAAATCTACTCTTTTAGCAAAACCTTAAACATGTTTATATTATAAAACAAAACAAACAAAAATTATTCAACATAAGATACTGTCCAGTCCATTTTCTTAAGCCATATGTACATTGTGTTGCAAAGAATGGGTGCTTTTTGTCCAAGGTATTCCAACTGTTGTTGATCTAACTTGGAAATGGAATCTGAAATTCTGTTTGTTGGAACTTTGTATTCCACATTTATTTTTCTGTATTTCTGTAGGTGTTATAAGTTTTTTTTTTTTAACTTGAAGTTCAAGGGTACATGTGCAGTTTTCTTACTTAGGTAAACTTGTGCCACAGGGGTGTGTTGTACTGATTATTTTATCACCCAGGTATTAGATCTAGTACCCATAGTTGTTTTTCCTGATTCTCTCCCTCCTCCCACCGTCTACCATCCTATAGGCCCCAGAATGTGTTATTTCCATCTATATGCCTATGTGTTCATCATTTAGCTGTTTAGCTGCCACTAATAAAGGAGAACATGTGGTATTTGGCTTTCTGTTCCTGTTAGTTTCCTAAGGATAATGCCCTCCAGCTCTATTCTTCTTCCTGTTAAATACACACACACAATCAATCAAATAGAAAAATTACAAACAACAAACTTAATACAGAGTCAGTGTCTCAGACATTGCAATAATGTTCAGTTATGAGAAAATGTCCCACAATTATGTTAAAATACCTGACTTCAAAAAGCTTATGTTTCGTAAAGTTATAATAAACATATGCACATACATATGTACACACAAAGATGCACGTACATGCTCTCACACGTAGACATACGTAATGTAAGGACTTTCAGGCTGACTGACAGTGCCATGGATGCCATGGCAACCTCTGTGACCTGCACAGACACTCCAGATGAGTTACTGGAACTAGAAAGTTTGAAGTAACTGGAAGACCATAAAAGGGATGATCAACCCCTGTGGTGCACAATTAACATGAGACATTCTTCTATTGTTCCTTATTCCCACTTCAACTAATAAGGGAATTGGACTTTGTAACCTACTTTGGTCAACCTCCTGACTCCAGACACTATGACTCCCTCTCAGCTTGCAAAAACCACCCTAAACTGAAACTTTTGTAACTTTCTACTGACTACCCCGAACCTATAAAACCAACTCCTAGCCCACCACCCTCCGCTGAGTCCAAAAAGAGAGTCCATGCATACTAGAGGGAAGCAGGAAAGAGAGTGGTGGAAAAGAGAAAGCTGACCATGTGGAAATCCAGGAGATTACAAGAAGTGGGTGCACAGATATCAATGCCTTGAGGAGTTCCAACTCTGAATTAATTGTTGTACATGACTTCAAGCCTTTTACATATTTTAATTCTACATTTTTCTTGCTAAATCAATTTCTGGGTTCACTTACATATCTTTATTAGACTTTATTCCTATAAGACAAAGAACATACCTAAATGACAAAATTATCTTTTGGTATTTAAAGTAAATGTATAGTTACGTTACAATACTAACTTCCTGTGAAAATCAGCTTTGTGTTTGTATATAATGATGTGCTGCCTAAAATACTCGAAAAAGCAACAAACAAAAAACAAAATTACAGTCATGTAGATGGAAGACATATGTTTTGAAAAATGATAGTTAGGCAATGTTGTTGTATTAGTCTGTTTTCACACTGCTGATAAAGACATATTTAAGACTAGACAATTTACAAAAGAAAGAGGTTTAATGGACTTAAAGTCCCACATCCTGGGAGTTTTTGTCTTAGCAATATTCCAGTTGTTATGTATGGCTCCTCAACATTTGGTTTAGTCCTGTAATTTTCATCATTTCAGTAGGTTTCTAGTAATTTCTCACATTGCCTTGGTTGCTATTCACTAATCACTAATGATATTGGGCACCTTTTCAAATCCTTGTTAACCATTCATGTATCTTATTTTGTGGAATGTCTCTACAATTTTATTTTTATACTTTTGCCAATTAAAAAACTTGGATGTAGGAGTTGTTATTTTGTTGTTGTAGTTTTTGTTTTCTGAGACAGAGTCTCACACTATCACCCAGGATGAAGTGCAGTGGAATGATCACCACTCACTGCAGCTTTGATCTCCACTGGCTCAGGTGATCCTCCCACCTAAGTCTCCTGAATAGCTGGCGCTACAGAACATTCCACCATGCCAGGCTAATTTTTGCACTTCTTTTTAGAGATAGGGTTTTGATGTGTTGCCCAGGCTAGCCTCAAACTCCTGGGCTCAAGTAATACACCCATCTTGGCCTCCCAAAGTGCTAGGATTGCAGTTGTGAGACAGCACACCCAGCCAGGAGATACTTTATTTTTTTTCTTCATGAAGATTTTGTCAGATATATGTATTATTAATATTTTCTCCAAATCTGAAGCTGGCCTATTCTTCTGATAAAAAGATGAATCAATTAATTTGTTTTACTTTATTTTCAGTTTTTGTGACTTCTGTCTGAAATAATTTTTTTCTTACTCCTAGTAATTAGTGTATTCTATTTTTCTTTTTTGAAGCTATACAGTTTTCACTTTAACATTTAGATTTACAATCATCCTTGTCCACTTTGTGTGCTATGAAATATAACTCAACATTGTTTATTTTTATTCCTATAGATTCAGCTTTTCTAGCAAAATTTATGAATATTACTTTTGCTTTCATTGATATCTTTATAAATAATCATGTACTGTATATATGCATATCTAATTTTGCTCTCTATTTCCCTGTTTGTGTAAACTTATAGAAACTTCACAATATTTTAATTTTCATAGGTGTATAGTAGAAAATGTGATACTATAGAGTCTTCCAAATTTATTCTTCTTTTTCAAGATAATCACAATAAATTCATAGATTTTATATCACTGTATAAGTCTTACTGCGTTTTTATGAAACTCTACAAAAAAAAAAATTTGGGATATTAATCAGAATTGCATTGATTCTATAGGTCACTTTGGGGGAAATCTACATTTTTATGATATTACGTCTAACAACTAGAAGCATGTATATCTATTTATTTAGATTATCACAATTATTTTCTCACTAATACTTTGTTTTTTTTCAATAAGCATCTTTTGCACATCTTATTAAATCTATTTCTCACATTTTATGTTATTTTTTCTGCTATTGCCTCTGAAAATTTTATTCAATTTCTAAGGGTTTTTTTTGTTTGTTTGTTTTAATGTAGAATTGCACTTGCTAGATTCCTCAAGGACCTAGAAATAGAAATACCATTTGACCCAGCAATCCCATTACTGGGTATATATCCAAAGGATTACAAATCGTTCTACTATAAGGACACGTGCACACGAATGTTCATTGCAGCACTGTTTACAATAGCAAGACCTGGAACCAACCCAAATGCCCATCGACGATAGACTGGATAGGGAAAATGTGGCACATATACACCATGGAATATTATGCAGCCATCAAAAACGATGAGTTTGGGTCCTTTGTAGGGACATGGATGAACCTGGAAACCATTATTCTCAGCAAACTGACAGAAGAGCAGAAGATCAAACACCGCATGTTCTCACTCATAGGCGGGTGTTGAACAATGAGAACACATGGACTCAGGGAGGGGAGCACTACACACTGGGGTCAGTTGGGGGGAAATAGGGGAGGGACGGTGGGGGATGGGAAACTGGGGAGAGATAGCAGGGGGAGAAATGCCAGATGTAGGTGATGGGGAGGAAGGCAGCAAATCACACTGCCACGTGTGTTCCTATGCAACAATTTTGCATGTTCTTCACATGTACCCCAAAACCTAAAATGCAATAAAATAAATAAATGGGGGAAAAAAAAAAAGAATTGCACTTGCTATTTTATTTAAACTTTTTCCATGTACATTTATTGATTTCACTTATTAGATTTAGTAGGTGTGGGGCAAATGTGTTTGTATTTTTATTTAAACAGTCGTGTTCAGCTGATAAAATCAATTATACTTCTTTCTTTATGCCATTTATACTATTTATTTTTATTGCCTTATTGCACTGAATAAGACCATCAATAAATGCTAGTGTTATGACAGAAGATATGCTTAACATTTTTCTGACTTTAGGAAGAAATCATATTGCTCCATTAAATAGAAGATGATTGCTGATTTCTCTAGATGCCCTTTCTTAGTGTGAGAAAGTTTTCTTGCTACTTTGCTGAGACATTTTCTCATGAATGGACAATAATTTTTGTAAACTAATTTTTCTGAGATCATATAATTTCTATCAAATACATTCTGTTACTGTGAAGAAATACCTGGGTTGATTTTGAAATGTCAAATCAACTTTGCATTTCTGAGGTAATCACCTCTTGTATTTCCTTTTTACAATATTGCAGAAATCAACTTAATCATTTTCTTAAAAAATTTGGCAACTATGTATATATCAGTTGGTTAAATGTAATTTTTATAACATCCTCAACAAGGTATAATATTAAGATTACAGGAGGTCATGAAACATGCTGGGACATTTTTCCATCTGCCAATTTACTAAAATAGTTGTGTACAATTGATTTCATTTTTTTCCCTAAAATGTTTGATAATATTCACAATTGAAGGTTTTTTAAGATTTCTTATTTCAATTTATTTAAAAGGTATAGAGCTTGTGAGGTTGTCTACTTCATCTTGTGTCAGTTTTGTAGATTGGTTGTTTTTCAAATATGTACCCCTTTCATCTGTGCTGTCAACTTTATTGGCATAAAGTTGTTCGTATTATTCTCCTGGCATCTTCCAAAGTTTGTGAATATGTCATGACATTCTTCTATCAACACCAATATTAATTTATTTATTCTCTCCTTTTTTTATGGATAAGTCTTGTTAGAGATTTATCAATTTTGCCAATTATTTAAATAACACACTTTTAACTTTTGGGGGTTTTCTCAATTATTTTTGTTAGGGCAAGAACAATGGTCATATAAAAGAAATTACTGCTGCATTTTGGACTCTTTCAGGTCCTTTCATTTCTATGTGCCCTCCACTTTTGCTAATAGCTCAGTCAGTCAGCCTCTCCTCAACCTAGATAATTTTCAAGAAGCCATATTATCTGCCTGTCTAAACTGACACCATAGATTTGCTCCCAAGAACCTATTGCCACTGTTCATTCATCTATGAGTGGACTGAAATTCAGGTATTCTGTGCTTCCTTGAAATCAAAACTCCAGATCAGACTATTTTGTCCAGATATTTTAGGTTTTCATAGAAGAAAGGATCTTTTAATATTATAATCAAAAGTAATTCTCTATAGGTGATTTTTAACTCATAAACTATTTATTTTAGTTTTGAATTTTCTCTGATAGGTGCTTTTTAATAAATCTTAAAGAGAAACTGATTTTCTTAGAAATGAAAATATTGACTTCTGAGAGACTCATTTAATATATTTGTCACTCTACTTTATCTTAACATCAGTCTTATTTACTTTCTCCAAAAATACAACAATAACTAAAGTTGCCTTTATTTTTTGTTTGTTTTCTCCTCTGTGTAAGACACTGAGATGTTTGGAAATTGTAAGGCTTTTATCTTTCTTCATTTCTTCTTTTTAAATATGTATCTTTTAATCCATAATAACTGTGAAGCTAAACT